TTTAGATGGATTCATAATCAAGTGGAAAGCATAAATTTTAGATTCTTTACAGTAATTAAAGGTAAAAAACCTGGTATATATAATTATTAGTTAAAAGTACTACAACAAGTAGAAAGATTTCCCGACCCTCCCGTCAAAGGATTTTATACGCTTGAAGAAGTTTTAAATTTTTGCAAAAAAAATTATAGGATTTAATTTTCATATATCCAGAAAAAGTTAAACAGACCATGCAAACCTCCTCCAAGCTTCATTATCATCTTCATCAATACAACTTTGAGATAGTTGTGAAACTATAACCAAAGTTGTTGGAAATATAAATTTTAGAAAGCATTCATTAGAAGAAATACTATAACTCCTCGAAGATCATATTTCTTCATCCCAACAAACTATTAGTAAATATCAAAATGAGGTTCTTCAATTGTATGATAATTTAGACAGACTTAGTTCTAGAGATACACTTGAAAATCCCATTTCTAAAGATATTGCCTCTACAAGTAGAAATTATTTTGATAAAATAGAAAGATTTATTGAACTAACAGATTCTACAGCTGCAGGACAATAAAAGACTTTATACAAATTAGAACAAAAAATTAGTGATTGCGCCAGTATTGTCCGAAGTTCTATAAAGAAATCCGTTGTATAGGAAATTATAGATTAGTAGAAATTTTAAGTTACTATTATAATGAAAACAGATACATCCTTAGACATGGTCCCAAATACGATTCAGCCCAAAATTCAACATTTCTTAGACACAATTATCCAACAATTTCCTTTGATTATATAATCTTTGAAGAAGACTTTTTTTACCCAGTCTTAAATTTGGTATGATAGATACTATATACATATCAAACAGATCTTTCTAATTTTTTCCACCAAAACTTAAACAGATTCTTGATTAGTTAAAAGAACATCCCTTAATGATTCAATTTATTTCCATGCCCCCTCGTGTAAATAATGACATTGTAATTTCAGCTTATCATCGTATTTTAATTTATGAAGGAGTCAAAAGATTTAGACCCTCTTCGAGAATACATATTAAAATTAAAATTAGACAGATTGATTACGAAAGAAGAATATCGAAAATCGCAAACATGATGGAAGTTCAAAATAATGATTTCAGATTAGTAGCACAATGGAACAACGGAGTTATTTTCTGTCAATAGCGCCTTGCCATGAGAATTAAAGCAGAAAAAATTCAAGTAGCAAATGTTGAACAAAAGGATTTATATCTGATGGCGTTTCGAGAGACTAATAGAGAATTTACAGAAATCCAATCAGATACAGAAGAAGAAGCATACGTATCTGATGGCAATGATAATGAGATGGATCCAAAATTAGAAGAAGTCATAGTAGAAATAGTAGAAATGATGGACAAATAAGATTAATAATTGAAAAAGACGAGATAGAAAGACTAAGAAATAATTATCAATACAAGAAAGTAAAAAAGAAGTGGCATAAGGATAAAGCTCTTTGAACAAATTTCAAACATTAATAAAGTTAATTATCAGATTTCAAGCAAAGTCAGGCATGAGGACACAGTTGTCAAAATCATCTTTTCAAATAATTCATTCTTTAATTACTCACATGGAGAATTGTACATTATTTATTTTCCTTTGATTTTATATCGCACACCTGTAAAGTTTGCACATTATTCTTCAATTATTAATAGCACACTTATAGTACCAACAACATAGACGTGATGTACCAGCGTCTATAAATACACACACCTCCGAAAAAGGAAAAAGAAAAAGCATATTGTCACACTTGTACTCAAGAATCTCTCCACCATATTTGTAAATTCAAAGACATCCCTGTAAATTCAAAGACTTTGTAATTAAAGTAAGTTCTTTTCATATTTTCTCTTTTTTATAAATTTCGTTTACTTTAGTTATTTTTCGGGCAATGCCTAAAAGTGGAAACACCAAGTAAGCAATTAATTTATTCACAAATAATATCTTATTTCTGTTTCAAAAATATACTTTTAACGCTCTTAGCCTCTATATTCTGGATTCCATGACTAAAAGATAAAGTAATCCTCTTAGTTAAGTTGACTAATTTGTGTCCTAATAGTGGGAGTTTATTAAAACCTTTTTAAATATGATGAAAATCTTTTTTGCTACAATCTTAAGTCTTCTTTAAAAGGTAAAGAAAAAAACTAAAAGAGAATTAAAAAAAAAAAAGTTTGAAGAAATTAATTTGCTGAACGATAAAGTACTCAAAGGCCATTACAAATATATCGTTTTAAAGTTCTAATATTTTATGCCTTTAGATTACACTACATTACTTACTTGTTCATTAGAAAGTTTTAACGAATATATTAATACTTCTTTAGAAAATAGAGAAATAGGAAGATTAGTCATTGTAGGAAGCCATATTTTATCCACTCTAAATAAAAATAGATGTGACTCCTATTTACAGATCAAGAAACAAATCACTGAGCTCTCTATCTCTCGGTGTCAAAATTTCTTAATAAAATATCTTAAAGATTGTGAAGAAAGACAACAACGAGCAAGATTATAAGAGAAAATAATAAAAGAAATTTCAGTAGAACTAGTTAGATATTTTTATCAATTGAACTTTAGTGGCAAAGATAATATAAATTGGTGTAGAATTTTTTCAAACTTTTTGTTTTCAGAAATTAATTTCTAGTAGACTTTTTATTGCCAAATTTATTGATAGGAAGAAAAGTCTAAAAAATATTTATTACTTGGAAAATTTTGGTTTTCAAACGTGTGTAAATTTTTGAAAAACAAATTTTTGAAAGACTTTTTGCTACAAGTCTTTTTCTTACGAGATTTTCTTTTTCTTAGTTGTCATTTTCGTATAAGAAAATTTTTCTACCGAATTATTCTCTATGATAAAAATATAAGATAGGACTTTTTCCACAAATGTTTCAAACAGAATTATATTGACACGTAGACCTTTTTCAAAAAATTTGATACAAGCTTTTTATTACAAAGATTTTATACTACAAGATTTTGAATTGATTGTACAAAGATTTTGAATTCTTATTACGAAGACTTTGTCTACAAAATTGATATCTATGTAGAGAAACTTTTAAAAGATTTTTCTTATTTGTTATTTTGAAAAGACTTTTTATTACTTGTCATTTTCTTCTCACTACAAAATTTTATTACTAGTCATTTTCAAAATCTTCCTTGAAATTGGTATCAGAGCAATTTCAAGAACTACATTAGTTAGCGCATTGATAATAAAAGACTTTTTATTACTTGTCATTTTCTTCTTACTACAAATTTTTGTTTTAACAACTACATCAGTTAGCACATTAATAAAAGATGAATTTGTTATAGGTATAAAATTCTTGCTAAGTAGAAATGGAAGTTTAACAATTATTCCTGATGTTATAATTTTTGGAAAAGAAACTTCTATTATTAATATTATAGAATCATCAGAGTTGCTAGTTAAGCGTTGGACTCTTACAAACAGATCCAGAAATTGAAAAAAATTTAGAATTTTTAGATAATTTATCTTTAGAAACTTTAAAAACAGATTTTATACCAGAAATAAAGAATTAATAATTTTTAACAAAACATCTTCTAAGATAGATGTATAGACAAAATTTTAGAATTAGCTAAAAAAATTCAAATAATAGGAGAAAACCCTATAAAGCATTGGGATAAAAATAAAATAGAAGTTAAATTAGAAATAATAAATGAAAATATAAAAATTAGAACAGCAGAAATAAAATATTTAATCAAGATATAAAAATTTTTAACATACATATTAAAGAATTATTAGATTTAAAATAATAAGACCGTCTAGTAGTCAAACACGAATCAACAGCTTTTATGGTTGGAAATCATAGTGAAATAAAAGAAGAAAAGCAAGAATCATTATAAACTATAAAAGATTAAATGATAATACTGTAGAAGATGGATATAAGATATCAAATAAAGATATGCCAATAAATAAAATACAAAATATCAAGATATTATCTGAATTTGATTGTAAATCTGGATTTTGGCAAATAAAAATGACAAAAGATTCAATTCATTGGACAACCTTTACTACTTCATTATGACATTTTGAATGGTTAGTCATGCTTTTTGGATTAAAAAATGCACCCTTTATTTTTCAATAAAAAAAAAGATGGATAGTATATTTAATTCTCTCTAATTTGTTTGTGTATATATAGATGATATTTTAGTACATAGTAAAGACTATAAAGAACATCTTAAACATTCAGAGATAAATCTAAATAAGTTTATAGAACATGGTTTAATTATAAGTAGAAAGAAGATGGAAATAAATAAACGAAAAATTGAATTTTTAGGAATAATTTTAGGAGAGAAAAAATTCAGTTACAGCTGCATATATTACAAGCAATTTTACAATTTCCAAACAAAATTGAAGAAATCGAGAAATTACAAGCATTTTTAGGAATATTAAATTATGCTTGACATTTTATTAAAGATTGAGGAAGGAAAGTAGGACGATTGTACAGTAAATTGTCCAGTAAATGACAAAAATACTTTAATCATTAGATATAGAATTATTAAAAATATAAAAGCAGAAGTTAAAAATTTACCACTATTATAATTACCTTTAAATAGTGAATATAAAATAATAGAAACAGGTGGATGTGAATTAGGATGGAGAGGATTTTTATATTCTAAACCAAATAAATATAATGATAAAAAAGAAGAAAAATGTGTAGATATGCTAGTGAAAAATACAAGATAAAAGGAAAATATTTATTTAGTTTAGATTATGAAATAATGGTCATCATAAAGTATAGAAACCTTCAAACTATTTTTAAACACTGAATTTACAATAAGAATAGGTTGTGAAGCTATAATAAAATTTATCAAAAAGACAAATTGTGATAGAATAAGACATAGAAGAGAGTTAAAATTATATGAGAAATTAAGTAGTTATAAAATTAATATAGAACATATAGATGAAAAAAAATAATATTTTAACAGATAATTTAAGTAGGCATGTTATTAATTTTCTAACTCATTATCTTCATGATACAGATGGATCAAAGGATGATGAACTTTTGGAATGTCACTCTGAGAGTGGCCCCTCAAGGATCTAATATTCGATTCAGAGGAAATAATTTAGAAAGACTACCAGAAAGGAGCATTGTCTACTGAATAATCTCTGGATGGCAATTGACTCTAAATAAAAACTAAACAGCATTAATGTCCTACCTAACCATTTTAGACTGATTCATAATCAAGTAGAAAGCGGAAATTTTAGTTTCTCTACAGTAATTAAAGATAAAAAGCCTAATATATATAATTATTGGCCAGTAGAACTACAACAAAATAGAAAGATTTCCCGACCCTCTTTTCAAAGGATTTTATACGCTTGAAGAAGTTTTAAATTTTTGCAAAGAATGATAGGATTTAATTTTCATATATCCTCTCAAACTTCATCATCATCTTCATCAATACAACTTTGTGATAGTTGTGAAAATATGACCAAAGTTGTTAGAAATTTAAATTTTAGAAAGCATTCGTCAGAAGAAAGACTATAACTCCTTGAAAATCAAACTTCTTCATCCCAACAAACTATTAGTAAATATCAAAATAAGATTATTCAATTGCACGATAGTTTAGATAGATTTAGTTCTAGAGATACACTTGAAAAACTCATTTCTAAAGACATCGCCTCTACAAGTAGAAATTATTTTGACAAAATAAAAAAAAACTTTTGAACTAACAGGTTCTACAACTGCAGGACAAGAAAAGACTTTATATGAATTAGAACAGAAAATTGGTGATTGCGCCAGTATTGTTTGAAGTTCGATAAAGAATTTTGTTGTACAAAAAATTATGGATTTTTCTCAAATTTTAAGTTACTATCATAATGAAAACAGATACTTCTTTAGACATGATCCCAAATACAATTCAGCCCAAAAATCAGCCTTTTTTAGACACAATTATCTAACAATTTCCTTTGATTATACAATCTTTGAAGAAGAAGACCTTTTTTACCCAGCTTTAAAGTTTGGTATGACAGATACTATATACACATTAAACAAATCTTTCCGATTTTTTCCATCAAAACTTAAACAGATTCTTGATCAGTTAAAAGACCACCCTTAATGATTCAATTTATTTCCATATCCCCTCGTGTGAATAATGACATTGTAATTCCAGCTTATCATCGTATTTTAATTTATGAAGGAGCTAAAAGATTTAGACCTCTCCGAGGAAAAATATTAAAATAAAAATTAGACAGATTGATTATGAAAAAAAATAAAATCATAGCCATGATGGAAGTTCAAAATAATGATTTCAGATTAGTAGCACAATGGAACAACGGAGTTATTTACTGCCAAGAACACCTTGCCTGAGAATTAAAGCAAAAAAAATTCAAGTAACAAATGTTGAACAAAAGGATTTATATCTGGTGGCATTTCAAGATACTACTGAGAATTCATAGAAATCGAATCAAATACAGAAGAAAAAGCATACGTATCTAATGACAGCGATAATGATATGGACCCAGAACTAGAAGAAGCCATGGCAGAATTGATAGAAATATAAGATTAATAATTGAAAAAGACGAGATAGAAATGCAGAAAAATAATTATCAAGACAAAGAAGTCAAAAAGAAGAGGCGTAAAGATAAAGCTTTTTGAAGAAATTTCAAACATTTGTAAAGTTGATTCTCATATTTCAAGAAAAGTCAGGCGTGAGAACAAAGTTTTCAAAAAACATCTTTTCAAATAATTCATTCTTTAATTACTCACAGGGAGAATTGTATATTATTTATTTTTTCTTTGATTTTAGATCGCACACCTGTAAAGTTTGCATAGTATTCTTCAAATATTGATTGCACACTTACAATACCAACAGCATAGACGTGATGTACCAGCGTCTATATATATCCACACCTCTCACGAAAGAAAACACACCAAAAAAAAGAAGAAGAAGCAAAAAGTACACTATCACACTTGTACTAAAAAATCTCTCCACCATCTTTGTAAATTCAAAAACATCAAATTCAAAGACTTCGGAATTAAAGTATGTTTTTTTCTTATCTTCTCTTGTTTATAATTTTTGTTTACTTTAGTTATTTTTCGAGCAAGGCCTAAAAGGGGAACACCAAGTAAGTAATTAATTTTTTCCCAAATAATATTTTATTTCTGTTTAAAAAATATTTTTTTAACGCTTTTAGTCTCTTTATTCTGGACTCCATGGCCAAAAGATAAAGTAATCCCATGAGTTAAGTTAGCTAATTTGTGTCCCAACATTGGGAGTTTGTTAAAGCCCTTTTAAACATGATGAAAATCTTTTTGACTATAGTTTTAAGCCTTCTTTAAAAGGTTAAGAAAAAAGCTAAAAGAGAGTTTTAAAAAAAGGTGTGAAGAAATTAATTTTTTTCTTAACGGTAAAGTATTCAAAAGCTATTACAAACATATCGTTTTAAAGTACTAATATTTTATACTTTTATATTACACTACCTTACTTACTTGTTCATTAGAAAGTTTTAACAAAAATATTAATACTTGTTTAGAAAATAGAGAAATAGGAAGATTAGTCATTGTAAGAAACTATATTTTATCTGCTATAGATAGAAGTAGAGGTAACTCCTCTTTACAGATCAAAAAGCAAATTACCGAGCTCTCTATCTCTCGGTGCCGAAGTTTTTTGATAAAAAATCCTAAAGATTGTAAAGAAAGACAACAATGAGCAAAGATTATAAGAGAAAATGATAAAAGAAATTTTAGTAGAACTAGTTAGACATTTTTAGCAATTGAACTTTAGTAGCAAAGATAATATAAATTGGTGTAGAATTTTTTCAAACTTTTTTTCTTCAAAAATTAATTGCTAGTAGACTTTTTATTGTCAAATTTATTGATAGGAAGAAAATTCTAAAAACTATTTATTGCTAGTAAAAATTTGGTCTTCAAAATGTGTGTAAATTCTTGAAAAAAATAAATTTTGAAAGAATTTTTGCTACAAGTCTTTTTCTTACAAGACTTTCTTTTTCTTAGTTGTCATTTTCCTACAAAAAAATTTTCTACCGAATTATTTTCTACGATAAAAATATAAGATAAGACTTTTTTCTACAAATTTTTCAAACAGAATTAAATTGACACGTAGACTTTTTCAAAAAATTTGATACAAGACTTTTTATTATAAAGATTTTTTGCTACAAGATTTTGAATTAATTGTACAAAGATTTTGAATTCTTACTACGAAGACTTTGTCTACAAAATTGGTACCTACGTAGAGAAATTTTTAAAAGATTTTTCTTACTTGTTATTTTCGAAAGACTTATTATTACTTGTCATTTTCTTTAAAAAATTTATAACTTGTCATTTTCAAAATTTTCCTTGAAGACTTATTATTACTTTTCATTTTCTTTTTACTAAAAAATTTATAACTTGTCATTTTCAAAATTTTCCTTGAATATAAGAAAAATCTTTTAAAGTTTTCTCTATGTAGATACCAATTTTGTAGACAAAGTCTTCATAGTATGAATCAAAATCTTTGTACAATCAATTCAAAATCTTGTAGCAAAAAATCTTTGTAATAAAAAGTCTTGTACCAATTTTTTTGAAAAATCTACGTGTCAATTTAATTCTATTTGAAAAATTTGTAGAAAAAAGTCTTATCTTATATTTTTATCGTAGAGAATAATTCAATAGAAAAAATTTCTTATAATAAAATGACAACTAAGAAAAAGAAAGTCTTGTAAGAAATAGACTTATAACATAAAGTCTTTCAAAAATTTACACTCGTTTTGAGAGCAAGATTTTTTCCTAGCAATAAATATTTTTTTAGACTTTTCTTCCTATCAATGAATTTGGCAATAAAAAGTCTACTAGCAATTAATTTTTGAAGACAAAAAGTTTGAAAAATTCTACACCAATTTATATTATCTTTGTCACTAAAGTTCAATTGCAAAAAATGTCTAACTAGTTCTATTGAAATTTCTTTTATTATTTTTTCTTATAATCTTTGCTCATTGTCTTTCTTTACAATTTTTAGGGTCTTTTATCAAGAAATTTCGATATTAAAAGATAGAGAGCTCAGTGATTTGCGTCTTGGTCTATAAAGAGGAGTCATCTCTATTTCTATCCAGAGTGGATAAAATATGATTTCCTACAACGATTGATCTTCCTATTTCTTTGTTTTCTAAACTAGTATTAATATATTCGTTAACAAGTAAGTAAGGCATTGTAATGTAAAGACATAAAATATTAGAACTTTAAAACGATATGTTTGTAATGGCCTTTGAGTATTTTACTTTTCAGCAAATTAATTTCTTCATACCTTTTTTTTTTAACTCTCTCTTAGCTTTTTTCTTAATCGTTTAAAGAAGGTTTGAGACTGTAACCAAACATCAGGTTTAAAAAGGCTTTAACAAACTCATACTGTTGGGACAGAAATTAGCCAACTTAACTTAGAAGATTACTTTATCTTTTGGCCATGAAATCCAAAATAAAGACGCTAAGAGCAATAAAAATATATTTTTGAAACAGAAATAAAATATTATTTTTGAATAAATTAATTGCTTAATTAGTGTTTACCCTTTTAGGCCTTGTCGGAAAAATAACTAAAATAAACGAAAATTATAAAAAAAAGAAGATATGAAAAGAACTTACTTTAATTGCAAAGTCTTTGAATTTACGAGAATGGTGGAGAGATTTTTGAGTACAAGTGTGATAGTGTGTTTTTTGCCTTTTTTTTTCAGCGTGTTTTCTTTCATGAGAGGTGTGGATATTTATTTACATTGGTACATCATGTCTATTCTGTTGGTGTTGTAAGTATGCTATCAATAATTAAAGAATACTGTGCAAACTTTATAGGTGTGTGAAGAAAAAAATAAATAATGTACAATTCTTCGTGTGAGTAATTAAAGAATGAATTATTTGAAAAGATGCTTCTGACAACTTTGTCCTCACGCTTGACTTTGCCTGAAATTTGATAATCAACTTTATAGATGTTTGAAAATTTGTTCAAAAAGTTTTATCTTTATAACTAATTTTTATGACTCCAAGGGATTTTAAGGAATCATGAATTTGTCGGTATTCATTTTCGTGAAATGTTAAATTCTTTCATATCATTTTGTATA